CACTACCTCTCTTGGTGACCCTTGTTAACAGCTATACCTAAGCAACTGATGATGGATCCAATATTTTGGTTCCGAAACCAGTCTTGCATCCATAGCTAAGCAGAGAGTTCGTTCTTTTTAGAACTTAACCATGACACACTTACAATCTGGTACCAAATAGATCAGTGTCATTTTGCATTCACCGCGGAAAGCCTGGTTTCGTACTTAAAACTATGTGCTCTTTTGATTCAAACAAGCATATTCTCAACCAGCTACTTATTGCAGATTAATCAAAAGAAAGCTTTCCATAGGACGTTTTAGTCTTAGTTTGATATCCTTCAATGACAACGCAATCGTAAGAAATTTCTATCCTAAGAAATTTCACTCTATGAAGCTTTTCAAAGATTGGCCGCCAACTTGAAGGGAATTTGCATATAATCACCTTTGATTAATAATTATAGAACCACGCTCGACCTGTAGTTAAGTATATCATTCTGACGACAGGGTAACTGAGCCAATAAAGTAAACGTTACTGATCATTTTCACTCCTTTTAGCCCTGAAAGTTGATCTAAATCCTGCAAACGTAGATGCGGAGGACTCGTAGCCTTTATCATGACCCTGATGAGGTGCCAGGAGGCTATCTTTGTCGACAGAAGTACTATTGATTTTCCTATTTTTCTCCTATTTTTTTAATGCAAAGTTTCCTATTTTTCCTATTTTCTCAGTCCTGAGTTTCCTATTTTCCTATTTTTTTGAGCAACCATGCTGCTGGACACCCTGATACATTCTCTTAAATGAAATCCAAACGATGTTCTCACAACTTGCAAAGCGATCAGCAATGGTCTTGCCAGCGGATTTGTGTACTGATCATGCGCATTACTTCAAAAACCATACACCAACGGTCTTGAGAAAAAACAAAAAACATGGCAGTCGAAGGCGGGACTGTTTCTCACTATTATTCGCAAATTTATTGATTTTATGTCGCTTTTCAGACATAGTGTGTGGTTTTCTTTTTCTGTTAAACAATTTCCCTTTGCAGAGTTTGGAATATGCAACATATAGCTAACTCCGTATCTGCTAAGAAAAGGCCGCCGAAGAGTTGAGCTATCAAGCAGTGTTTTGCTGCAAACCTTGGGAAAGTTAAAGTCGCATCAAGGTACAGAGCTTTCAGTAGTAGTTGTGATTCGTTTTAGGATCGTTTTGAATTTTAACTTTGGATTCAAGGTGTTGACTTATCGAAATAAACGAAGTGAAATGTTATGAAGTGTTAATTTTTATTCAGTTATGATATGTAGAGCAGTAAGCTCATATTTATAAAGCTTTCTTGAATATACTTGCTTCCGATAAATTTGACACTTGCTCCGGTGATCAGCATCAAGTTATTCCGTGCCCGGCTAAAACGATGTAACCTATAAATAAATCCATCGAGCGCGTTGTTGTTGGTTAAGATCTAGCACGGTTGCGTTAGTTTCCCCCGCATTTCAGTAACGAAAGACAAATACGATATGCAAGAAAAACAAAGTTGCATGATATCGTTTTTTTCAATTTTTTAAGCATCTCTGATTTCCTCTGTCGGTTCGCTTCAATTCTTGCTTCTAAAATATTTACTGTGGGAAAAATACTGTAATTATCCGCTGACCACCATGCTGGGTGACCGCTTTGCAAGTTGTGAGAACATCGTTTCTCGGTCCCAGACCTCGTCTCTTCCCCCCCCCCTGCTCATAAGTCATTACATTTGGTGGCAACACACAAATGTATGTCACGGCAGGACCAAACCACTCTCAAATCGGTCATTAGGGCTAATTTTACTCCATTTTTTTGTTATTCTTTACCAAAGTTGCAGATAGTCTAGTTTTCTCAATAGAAAAATCGAGTGTCAGAACTCGAGCGCAATTGACTTTTTCTTACTCAAAACACTGCACTTTTGGCGCCATCAAAATGTTACTCTGCTGCGTTACTATCGTGACTGCGTGACTGACAGTTGACTCGGTATCGCCATCTCTTCATGTCAAACGTACGTAAGTTCACGTTCAGTCACGGAAAAGGTTGTCACGCAGAGTCGCAGGCCGGTAGTGTTTAGTGTTTCAAAATGGCTAAAATTGACCAAGTTTGACTTTTTTTTACCTCACTCTATGCTTAGAAAAGCAACTTTGCAATGAGAAAACCTACAAGACGCAAGAAAAACGAACATTTAGCGTTGAAATGTCTACTTTTGTGCGTTTAGAAATTGGAAGTGTTTACAATGACCACTGGCCTACTATGAAATTTCCTGAACTTCGATGCCGTCAAATAACAGAGATTTCCTCCGATAAACCAGGCTCCGGGTGTTTCAACGTTGGATAGCGCTATCCACCGGATAAATCACTATCCAGCGGATAAAGCAATTGTTTCCCGTAATACTTATCCGCTGGATAGTGATTTATCAGGTGGATAGCGCTATCCAGCTTTTGAACAACCAGGGCCAGGCCAATTCTCAGGTATGGCTTGTAGATGAATGTGTAAAATGGGTGTTTTTCAACTGTTTCCAACAATAAAAGTAAAACTTGTGGATGAATTGATGCAAAGTGCTTATTTATGTAT